CCGGCATAGGTGTGACATGGACATTAAACATGATCTTTGTTTAGTCCATGTTCATCTTAAGACCTATCCGTTGGGAAGAACTATTGAGGTCATTGAGCATAGTGCTTAGGTCCTCCAGCGATTCTGCCATAAGGACTATATCGTCGGCAAATCGAAGGTGAGTGATGTACTCGCCATTGATGTTAATACCGTATCCTTTCCAGTCCAGAAGCTTGAAAACGTCTACCAATGCAGCGGTGAAGGGTTTCGGGGATATGACGTCACCCTGTCTTACACCTCTTTGCAATTGGATAGGTTTCGTACTTTGGTTCTGTACTCAGATAGCCATCGTAGCCCTACTGTACAAGCACTTCAGCACTTCGATATACCGACAGTCCACTTGGCACCGCTGAAGGGACTGCAGCACCGCCCAAATTTCGACGGAATCAAAGGCTTTCTCATAGTCCACATACGCCAGACATAGTGGCAAATTGTACTCCTCTGACTTTTGTACAATTTGCCGAAGGCTATGTATGTAGTCTATGGTGCTAAAGCCTTTTCAGAAACCGGCTTGTTCGGGAGGCTGGAAGTCGTTAAGTCTGCGCGCAAGACGATTCGTAATGACTCTCGAAAACAGCACGTAGACGCGGCTCAGAAGGGAAATCGGTCTGTAGTTCTTCAAGAGAGCGTTGTCACCTTTCTTGAAGAACAAGAATACCGCACTTCTTCTCCACGCCTCCGGTGTAATGCCACCATGGAGGACGGAATTAAAGAGCTTCTGAAGGACTTCAAGTACCGGTTTTCCACCCGCTTTCAGAAGCTCCGCTGTAATTACATCCTCGCCTGGTGCCTTGCCGTTTTTAAGGTGCTGGAGAGCCATTCGAATCTCGTTCAGACTGACGTCCGGGATATCATCGGAATAATGTCGGATAAAGCTCGCTCTTGGATCGTTACTCACACTTGCGTGTGGCTCCAACGATGACGTGTACGGCTGCCCATAGAACCTCTCAATCTCACTCAAAATCTCAGGTGTCCCGGAAACGATGCTGCCACATTCTGTCTTCAGCTTTAACAGTTGGCTCTTTCTGGCAGACAGATCTTTGGCAAAGTCTTTGAAGCCTTGTTTCCGCTCAATCGCTTCTTCAATACGAGCTGTATTGAAGTTGCGTAAGTCCCGCCGCATGCATTTGGAGATCTGTCTGTTCAGTTGCCTGTATGCTGTCAAATCTGTTGAAGAATGTAGTGTCATCTCCCGTCTAACAGCCATGAGATTAAGAGTGTGGTCGGAGAGTTTTTGTGTTCTTCTGCGGCGGGCCTTGCAGAACTTAGCTCCGACCGCATGGACAGTTTCCACGAGCTTATCATTCATATCGTCCACTTCATTGCAGTCTTCTAAGCACTGAAAACGGTTTTGTAACTCGAGCTGAAAGGTTTCGGGACTTTGGAATAGAGCACGAGGGGGACGGAGCGTTGACTTCATTAGACGAGACCTCTCCAACTTAACGTTTAGGTTCAGTGTGTCTCTAACCATTCGGTGATCGCTGCCGGTTTTCACCCTCGCGATCACTGAGACATCACTGAACAGCTGTCGTCTGGTCGTAATAATGAAGTCAATCTCATTTTTTGTCGAACCGTCGGGGCTCGACCAGATCCACTTCCTGTGGGGCTGCTTCTGGAAGAAAGAGTTCATCATAAAGAGTCCCTCTTTCTCCATGAAGTTGGCCAGCTGCTGGCCCCTTGGGTTCTGTTGCCTTATTCCAAATTTCCCTACTTTCAGCTCACCATTCTCTCTTGTCTTCAGTCTCCCATTAACACCGTATATTGGGTTTTGGAGTACTGCATGGCTCTAGAGATATCCTCATACATTTCCTCCACCTCCTCATCGGGGTGTGCCGAGATTGATGCGTAAACCTGTATGACCTTCATCGAATACCGTTAGGTGATTCTGAGTATAAGGTACGCAACCCTCGTCGACACACTCAATCTTTACAACGTTGTTAACGAGAGACTTGTGGACGATAAATCCGACACATCCTTGGGACAGATGGTCACCCTCCCGGTAATAGAGCAAGTTGCCGGATTCGAGGATTACCGTTTCCTCTCCCTCTCTTCGGACTTCGTATAATCCTATAATATGCCAGCGTAACTCGTCTATCTCTTCTTCCAGCTCCACAATCTTCTCGTCAGTCCTCAGGGTGCGTGCGTTGTATGTTGCCAGGTCGAGTCGTCGTAGGTGGCAATCGAACCTCCACCGGAGATTCTTAGCAGCCCCTGCCCCGCCGTTACCATGGTCACCACCGTAGCCAGTAATAGCGGGGCCGCCGGGGACTGGGGGCAGTCTCTTAGTAACTTTATCCGTTTGGGGGGTATTTGCTATAGTTGCCACGCTTGGCGAGCGGGTTGGCAACCGCAGTTTTTTTATTGTAATTTTGGCTGTTATCAGGAAGATGCTGCTGCCCATCTCCTGCTTGTTTCCCTTTGTCGCCTTTTACGAAACCCACGGGAAGATATGGGGTAGTGGATATTCTTAACCGCCACTACACGACGATTGTAGTGGCATAGAGAACTATAACTAATAAGTGCCTATTTTACATGTTTTTTCTATCAAGAAAATTACATGTTATTGTGTTTTCCTTTTACAAACACGATAATCAAACATTTTGGAGGTATCACTAAAAGTCCTGCTTCTTGCCGGTTCTTCCCAAGACCAAGGTATTTTCCAAACCAAATGTAAATAAAAATAACTTTCAAAATCTAATTATAATCTTTATACTAATATGTCCAATTAAAAAATCAATCTCTATTTCTACTAAATAATAATTCGGGGAAAGAAATCTTGGGATTTTTGATCAAAAAAATGCGACAAGTAGTTTTGACAGTCCTCTCTTGATGTTAACCTAACACTACCCAAAGAATTCTGAAGAGACCGAAACAGGTGAAAATCTGACGGTTCAAGGTAAGGACTATACGGTGAATGCATTAACACTTCCAAACCAAGCGCTTTCAATTTTTGCTGAGTGGCCAAAGATGTGTGTGGTTTGGCGTCATCATTATAAAAGACCACTCTTTTTCTGTTGATCGATTCCTGCCGTTGTTTCTCAATTTCTTACTTGAGTCTCATTAGTTGTTAGCAGTAGGAATTCGGATCGATGGTTTTGCCCAGCGGTAAAAGCTCATAATAAACGATGTCCTTCCAATCCGGGTTTCGCTACAGTCTGTGGAGTTAACGTGGTAGAGCCATGCTGCAGCTATATTAATAATATAGTTGTACCACAAATGGGTCAGCTCGACCGGGGAAGGACCACGCTCTCGCCGAATACCAGCGTAAAATAGCAGTTTAACGCTGCTGTGTTTCGTATGGTGAGGTAAAGAACCGGAGACCCATTTTACTGGAAAAGAGGCATTCTATCTTAGTCCTCAAGACAACGCATCTGCAATTAAATTCGCAAACGAAGATAGATGCAGATGTCTATGGGCCACAGCAACCACTTACCATCAGGTGGACTGTGTGCTCGTTTGTCACCCTAATTCTATATAAAAAAAAAAGCTTGACTACCCTTTGACCATGGTCATCACACAGTCTTGTCGTAGGTGATACTTTTCATCACCAGTGATCTTTTTAAAAATGGTTCGGATTCATTACATTTCAACAGAGAATCGCAAATGAGTACACGATTCACTAGGTTTATTTCAGTGAGCTCGTGTGGTACCCAAATATCGGGCTTTTTGTATAGCCAGACTTTTTCAAATGGGTTAAAATTGTTTTGTGGTCAATCCTCAATTTATCGGTTATTTCGTAACTACTAATATGCCGATCTTGTTCTCCTTTTTCAAAAATGGCATCGACTTTATCCGTATGAGAGCTGCATCTTTGACATCAAAATTCTCGGATTGAAAACGCTTCAACCAACTTTGTGCTACTCTTACGGATACAATTTTTTTTCGTGGCTTGAGTCGCATTTATCCCTTTTTGTAATAAAACTTCAGAATGTATCGAATTTCTTCGTTAGAGATTCACTCATTTTGGCGGATAGAAAAAAATTGAAAATGGTGGGAAAGTGTTTTTTACTTTTTATTTTTCTTTTTCTTAATATCCTGTATGTATTTATATTAAAATAAGCCAGATACAAACAATATAACCAATGAGATATAACAAAGAAAGAGATTTCTTCAATCTTATACAAACAAAATACGAAGAACTTTTTTCCCGACAGATAAGTATAAAACAAATTTGCATAATTTATAACTATCTGGTGGATTTAATGCCTTTACCATAATTTATATCATTTTTGAAGTATGTTTTTCAGTAAAATACATGCTTATTTTTATGTAAAAATAGTACAGAAATATTGATATTTTATGGTCAAGTCGTAAAATATAAAACTACACATGAAATACGGTCTCCTAAAGGTGAAGTGAGTCGCTATTACATAATAATATTTTAAGGTTTCGTATCAGGAAGAAAAAAAACTAATAATATTTTATAGGGTTTGTGTAGACATGTATTTAGTGGCAGTGTAAGAATATCTACTACCCCATATCGCTCATTGGATGTCGTAAGGTGACAGAGGAAACCAAAAAGAGACAGACAGTATCATCTTCATGAGGAAAATTCAAAATAATATAAAACTGCGGATGGACTGTGTTGGCGGTGTAACAATATCCACTACCATATCGTGTTTAGAGATATTCACTTCGCAGCGCCATTTTCTATAAATTGCAAATTTCCTAAATTCGTATCACCGTAGCAGCCTTTCAAAAGTCAACTGCTGAACACAGGCCTACCCCTTAGATTATCTTATATTTGCCATAGTTGCCACGGTTCACTACCGCATGTTTTTATTATATTGAGTTGTTATACTCAAACTCCTCCACTCTACCACTCTCCACACGACCGGAGAGAGATCAGGACCAACAGCTTTACGTGCTATCCGGGGCACAGCTAACTCCCTGACTCCTGACTGCTGACTGCTACTAAGAATTTCTCATCAGACAAACCAAATAACTGGTTTCAGCTCGACCTGGGATTAGAACCTGAATCAGCAAACGCGCTTACGACCACTATATCAACGAATTCCGTCCAAAACGTTAATAGAAACAAAATATTAATCGTATAGAATGCATTTTCAATGTTTTTACAGATTTTAGTTATCAGAATTATTTAATAAAAATCTTTCGAAACGTGTGTTGTAATTTCTCTTGTTACATTACATAGCATATTGTGTCAATATCACAGGTATTTAGCACTTCGGACATCGCAACATACTCGTAACTTAGAGTAGTATGACTATTGACAGGTAGATGACACTAATCTCGACAAATTGGCTCCACAGTACACTAGAGGCCAACAAAATTTAGTCATGTTATTGCTTGTAACTTTTTTAACTGATTTATAGAGTTGTTTTTAATGTCCTTCTGTGTTTATACGACTTTTTCAGCCACAAAGCAGCAGTGCACATATTGCTGTTTCATATTAAAAGACGCAATTGTGACCTTTTCAAAAAAAATTGTTGAATGTGTCCAAAAGAATGGTAGTTTGATGGGAAAATATTTACGCATGTAGCTTTACAGGAGCAATGATTCGATAGATATCTCGAACTCGCACTGATTTTAACTTCCTGACCCACCTGCATCGTATATCGAAAAGGCCACGGAAATGCTTCTGCACACATGTGCAGCACCACCAATGCCAACCGAATAGCAGCCACAGGGGAGAAGAACTCTTCCCCTCTTCTTGTTTAGGCAGGATAAACATAAATATAATAAAAGGAAAAATTTCCACCTACACAACGGATTTCCGCAAGTCCGTTATGCGGATGTCATGAAAAACGTGCAGGGAAATACGTGGGCCCGTACATTTTCATTTCATTTTCCTATACGTGGTAAAGCCATGCTGCAGCTATGTTGTGGTTTTAGCACGAATGGGTCGGCTCGACAAGAGAAAGACCAAGCTCTCACAGAATACCAGCGTAAAATAGTAGCTCAATGCTGCTGTGTTTAGTATTAAGTGTAGACAACCGGAGACCCATTGTACTGGAAACGAAGCATTCCATCTTAGTCCGAAGGGGTGACATGCGTCTGCATTTTGATTCTTAACCGAGAATAGATGTAGATTTCTATGGGTCACAGCATCCAACTACTATCAGGTGGACTGTGTGATCGTTTGTCATTCTTATTATATTTAAAAAAAAAACGTTTTAGTTGCAAGTGAGTGTACATTACCGTAACACGGCTATTCAATACACGGTCGACACAACACACAGTACAAGGCCTATGAGCGTCAATCATTGTATTCATTAGCTAAGTTCGATGTGCTGTGCGGACATCAATTACTAGGTGTATTAATTAGAGCTGCCTTAGTAAGATGTGATTATGCATGTGATATACACACGAGTATACAAGTAATTATTCATGAATTTACGTTATTGTTGTTCTACAATTAAATTATATGTATATAGGCCTTTGCGTCTATAACAGGTGATTAATGGTGCAATGTCAGGGAGTCACCGTTTTTTGTAGCTGAGCAAACTGATGCAAAATTGACATCTTTTACCGCTGGTCTGACAAGTTTGCGGTATAAAACATATTTAAACGTTGTTCGCGTCGTTCACACGTCTGTTCTTTATTTTATTTATAAGTTGGATTCACACAATAATTATATATTCTAAGTAATACGTGCAAATAAGTATTAATAAGATTTATAACTGTTAAAGATACTTTCACCACATTAATATCATACATAAAGATCAGTTTTGATTGCATAAATATTATCAATCATTCTACAATTAGCAATCCATTACGTTTTCATATGTCATCTATGTAGCTACCGATAGACATACAATTTGTACCTTTACCCTTCGAACCTCAAACTATTAACACGTCCTCAAAAATATATTAATAACTATTGTAAATTATGACAAGTTTATATAAATCGAGTTTGTGATATTCTAATCTATAACTTATTTGTACAATATCGTACAATTATTATACATTACTAGCTGTGCCCCGCGTATTTCAGCGTTTGAACCGCGTGACATGACATGACACCTACCACAAGCATTTTGGATAGAAATGTATGGAAAAATTGGCAAAATTTATTCAGTACTTTTATCTATCGGCACATGTATGTTATGGAGAATTTTATTCACTCTCCGTCCTCCTCCCGGGTGAGTGTCACAACCCCCCACACCTAATGAAAATTGTCACCAGAAATTTCAAGAATAAGAAAAATAACAGTACTGCGACCGTGGCAACATTATAATGAGTTGGATGCATTTTCGTTGTTAACGCAATATACATATTTAAGTAAACAAGTTCTTTTCCCTTATTTGTAACTAATTTTTGCTCGAGACTTTGCGCGCGTAGGATATTAACAATAAACTATATAATATTCAAGGTCTTTCGTCAAGTAGTAAGTTGATTTAACTGAGCTCGTTTTTTGCTCTTATATCGAAAAATATGCACGGTAAAGGAAAATGATAATAAATAAAAATTAATATATAGGGTCTATTAATTTTATCTTCTAACACCAATAGTATTGTTAAAAAATTACTTTAAAGCAAAAAAAAAATATGTTAAAAATCTATTTTGCATTAAAAGAAAGATATAAAAGAAAAATGTTAGAACCACTTTTGTGTAAATTGCAAACTAAATAAGTTTTGTTCGAAACCTTTTTTCTCCATATCAAAAACCATATTTTAATCAGTTTTTCGGATAAAACAAATAAAGTATAAATATAGCCGAGATTCTACGATCCTAGCCTTGCTCTCTATATGTTTGTAAAGATTTCACTCAAATGCTTCAGCCATTCCAAAAATTAACCTGGAAAGACAGACAAACAAACAGATAAATTCATAGACAGATAGACGAGTAAACAAAATAAAATTATACATGTTTTTCACGTATTAATAGCAGAATTTCGATATTGTGGAAAGACCCTTCAATATTATTTATATGTGTAGATATATAGATTTAAGGATTTTTTTTTTATTTCTAGTGTATTCATCGTGTTAACTAATAAATTAACTTTCATTCATATAATGCGCTCCCACCATCACCGTAGTTGGATTTTCTGGGTTTTTATAGTCTCCTCTTACGACAGAAAGGGAACAAAATAGGGTGTTAGATTCATTTATCCCACTACTACACGTCGATTAATAATACATCAAAAGTTTTATTTAAAAAAAAAATATTGAAATAAATCAGTTTTTTTAGACATTGGCCAATAAAGTGTTATGTATATTTAAAAATGCATTATAAAATCTACGTTAACAAAAATAAAAAAATAATATAAAAAACAGCCAATATACGGACTACCATGGTTCTGATAACGAAAAACCTGGTGGTACTGTACATTAAGCCTCAAGCACCTACAACCCACTTTAACAAAATACGCTGTTCAGAGAGTTATGATATTCGAAAAAAGAATAGATAATAATTGAAGCACTATACAAAAACTATAAGAGCTTTTGTAATAAAATATGCAACGTAATTTCGTATGACATTTTACCAATAGCTGGATTTTAAGGGTCTCTGTAGGAAGCCTCGGCTTACGCATGTCAAGCCTCTACAAAATATTTAAGCACAGGTCTTGCGTTTGTTACGTATTACGACAGCATCAAGAGGATATATGAGCTGCAAAAAATTTGAGGAATTATAAATGAGCTATTACTGTTGCGATGTTCCCGAACAACCGAGCTGTATAATCGGGAGAGACAACCACCAGCTTGGACTGGTTATTCCTATAAAAAATTGACAAATTATTTATTCTTTATTTCCCTGTTTCTGCCTCCAAAACTTTTCTTCTTTCTCTTTTATTTTTTATGTTCGTTACAACCTCTGTCGTCACAAAAAAAGACGAAATATAAAGTTAATTCTCAGTTTTCAATTACTCTCAACCAAACTGTTTCTTTCTTTTCTTTTTGGAACCGTTTGTCTTACTATATTTTTATTTGCTTTAAATCAACTAGATTAGATTCTCTTAAATATTTTCAGAGCCTTTTGGAAAATTCCAGAAAATTGTTCTTATGTCGTTTATATTGGACAAAATACACAGGATGGCGACCGCCAGCAGCACTAACAGTTCAAGACGTCTGGTACTGTGATCTACAATCAGCCAGTATTGCGTAACGTTTGAGTCAAATGCTCCCTACAAAAGGTGATGCCTATATCCAGAAGTGGACATTCGGAAGCTGTTAAAGAAGAAATATCTTTCTTTCCAAATTTTTACACAAATCAGCGGTGGTAAATCTCTCAAAGTTGTATGTCTTTAGCTGCTGAAGCATCAAAAGACATAGTATCCAGATGTTTTACAGCGGCTGATAAAGAAGCAGACTAAAGCTTAGAGTCTACGTAACTAAACCGTATTCTGCGAGAGTAAGAGTGCATACAAGGTATAATTCGTTTTAAATTTACTGATTACCCCAAATTGCAGTAGTCAGTTGTTCATTCATTTCTTGCAGCCAAATAAAAGTCCACTGTTGACCATACGGCTCTCCTTTAGATTGCCTAATAGAGAGGTTTTCCAGACAGTTGACAAGTTTGACTGTCAGGTTATCAACCGTAGATTATATCATTATTTTCAGTTGTTATTGGAAATATGCTGCTGCTATCTACTTCGGTTCAGTTTAATTCCGTTTATTACAATACCTACGATAAGAAAATTATCTTACGTCATCAATACCCGGCACGCCATTAGCCACTTACTGGGTATACTGGGAGCATATTTGTTATTCTCTTTTAATAAAATACTTGTTAACTGGGAAAGGACTACGCTCTCACAGAATACCAGCGTAAAATAGCATCTTAATGCTGCTGTGTTTCGTAATGTGAGTGTAGAGAAACGGTGACCTTTTCTACTGGAAACGAGGCATTCCATCTAAGTCCTTAAGGGGGACAACGCATCTGCACTTTGATACTTAGTCGAGGATAAATATAGATGTCTATGTGACACAGCATCCACTTTCCATCAGGTGACCTGTGTGCTCATCTGTCACACTTAATCTATAAATAAAACTAAAGTTAATAATCATTCTAAATATACAAATACATTTTCTACTATACTCAAAGCATAGGATTAAATTTAAACATAAATTAAGTCAGGATACACGAT